GAACATATTTCCAGTGATGGATTCCCTTTACAACCCAGAGGAAAATGAAGAACAATTCTTCAGCAATCGACTGAGAACATATTTCCAGTGATGGATTCCCTTTACAACCCAGAGGAAAATGAAGAACAATTCTTCAGCAATCGACTGAGAACATATTTCCAGTGTTGAACTCCCTTTACAACGCAGAGGAAAATGAAGAACAATTCTTCAGCAATCGACTGAGAACATATTTCCAGTGATGGATTCCCTTTACAACCCAGAGGACAATGAAGAACAATTCTTCAGCAATCGACTGAGAACATATTTCCAGTGATGGATTCCCTTTAAAACCCAGAGGAAAATGAAGAACAATTCTTCAGCAATCGACTGAGAACATACTTCCAGTGATGGATTCCCTTTACAACCCAGAGGAAAATGAAGAACAATTCTTCAGCAAACGACTGAGAACATATTTCCAGTGTTGGATTCCCTTTACAACCCAGAGGAAAATGAAGAACAATTCTTCAGCAATCGACTGAGAACATATTTCCAGTGTTGGATTCCCTTTACAACCCAGAGAAAATGAAGAACAATTCTTCAGCAATCGACTGAGAACATATTTCCAGTGTTGGATTCCCTTTACAACCCAGAGGAAAATGAAGAACAATTCTTCAGCAAACGACTGAGAACATATTTCCAGTGTTGGATTCCCTTTACAACCCAGAGGAAAATGAAGAACAATTCTTCAGCAATCGACTGAGAACATATTTCCAGTGTTGGATTCCCTTTACAACCCAGAGGAAAATGAAGAACAATTCTTCAGCAATCGACTGAGAACATATTTCCAGTGATGGATTCCCTTTACAACAAGCAAATGGAAAATCAGACACGCATCTAAAATCTAAAATAAGGCAGTCTCTAAGGCATGGGACATGCACAGGAAGCTCACCAGCACCGGATGCTTCGCCACGAAGGCCACCTAAGTGAGTGAACCACCGCCGGATTTTCCCCGAAAAGGGACCAACACCCCAAAACAGACAGGTCCTGGGGTTTGCAGGGGCGGTTTCTAGGTGCCCCTGAAGAGTGGGGTTTTGAAGGGGGCGTTGCTTTTTTGGTGCGGCTCAGCGTTGTTGGTGCTGTGTTTGGATGATTCTCAGTGTTCTTCATTGCTTTGCGGTAGTCTCAGTCTCGTTTTTGCGGTCTGGGCTGTTGCACATTTTTGCTTGTTTGAGACAGTTCCACATAATTTTGAGATCAGCCTCACAAAATCTGAGAGACTCAACAAAAACCACGAGACTGCCAAAAAACAGAGCAATCCTGGGGGTCTGGGGCTGTCCTGTAATTCCTGCAGTCTCTGCTATTTAAATTCGAATTAAAGGATTGACACAGACCTCCTGATGTCTATATTTTGAAGCAGAGTATGCACATGATTGACACCCAAGTGGATGCAGTATTGTTCAAGCAGAGTTGCCAGATTCAAGTCAACTTTGATAGGCGTTGGTGTCGGTGTTGCTGACATGCACGTATCGTTGGGCATGATTGCCTTGAACAAGCACATCCGAGGAGGTACCACGCCCCACAATAAAATGGATGGGACCCAAAAAGGAAGCCTGCAGCAAAGGAAGGAACGCCAGAAGTGGTGAACAAATACAGGAATGAGGTCGGATTGGCTCTGCGATGTCAGGGATCGAGCCGTTTAACCCCCTCCAAGCGAATAATTAGCCACTGAAAAGGCCGACTTCCCAGCGGCATCACAGTGGGCGGTCCACATAACCATGAGTCCTGGAGTGAATGCCCAAATATGTCTGGGGAGCTTGGATTCCCAGCCTCGGAAGGCGAGTGTTTACCACGCAGGAATTGTGACTGAGCTAGGGTGCATGGCAATCAAACCAAGGCTGTACCTCAGCTTGCGATTGACGTGTGCGGTCCTCCCACCCGGCACGGTTTCTGCTGACTCTCGGGTCCGCTTCCTCTGGGTGCCCGGGCCCCCGCGGAAGTCTCCACCTGAGCTTTTGGATCTACCAGAGCTCGAAATCCAGTTGTATTTGAAGCAGGAAACAAACACACGTACACGAGTCGTTTCGGGTTGCTGCAAGCTTTGAGGGAATCAAAGGCAGCAGCAGACCAAATCCACGTGTCCCGCGATTTGGTTGGCTGCTGGCCGAGAGCGAATTGATTTACACAGGTCCGAAAGAGCAGGCCAGCTTTTCGATGTCCCGGAACACTGAAATCACCAGATCGCCCCAAAGCGCAAACCGACCAAGCGTATGAGTACTCAATATACCCACATGACCCACGTCAAGCACACCTATGGACCTGCCCCATGAGTCGGCCATTAAAGTCAACCCACCAGTGGTATATGAAGTGACCTGAAAGGGTCAAACAACCTCCACACAGTCCGGTTTGTGGTGAGGCTGAATGTCACCTTCAGGAGACCTCCTCTAAGTATCACAGAAGATGGTTCCACCCCCCCCCCCCCCACATGATCGTCCGAGCAGCAGCGAACACGATAGGTTGAACTTCCTTGATCTGGTTTGTACTGACGGCAACTGCAATTGCACTGCCTCAATGAAGTAATCATTCCAAGCAAGATGTTCTCATCCATCATGTGAGCATACTTCTACATAAGTGCTTCCGCGGGCAAGTTGCTGCTGGAAATTGTGGAAGGTAGCTTCCGCGCGGGAATTCGTACGCACGATCTGCTAGTACACCCACTGTTCGCAAACAGCACCCCAGACGAAATCAAACCACTATTCGTTGCTGCGGCTCTACAAGTGTGGCTCTACAAGTGCGGCCTTGCACATGCTTGCTGGGCCACTGCTCCTAGGTAGTTTGGAGGATCTCTTGGAGGATCTTGCATTTCAATTCCCACCTCTTCCACCATATCCCCATAGGGTCACTGGTCGCGCTAAGCAAAAACAATGAAAACACAAGGCAAACATGTTGAACCAAGGCATCAAAACTCAAAACTCCCTCTGAATGGGTGGTTTAAATGGAAACTACTCCCAAAGCTAGTTTCGAGAACCATGAAACTACAACCACTTCTACAAACCCAAACAACATGGGGTAAGCAGCAGGAGCACCACACTTCTTGGTGGAACTCCGTTCCGTGAGCAAACCTCCGTTTCGGGCGTTCGGTTCGGCCTCAGTGACCTCCACGGTCTTGGTGAAGGCCGTGGACTGCAAGTTGTACACAGCGCCTCAGCCCCGAGCCATGAAGTTCTAGCCTGAAGTCATGGCTTGAAGACTGGGCTGCCCTCACGCCTGCTAAAAGTTTAACTTTTAGTGGGTTAAATGGAAACCACCACGAAACCCTAAAAGCCTAAAGGGGTTGGGGGGCTTGGAGGGCTTGGAGGGCTTGGAGGGGTTGGAGGGGTTGGAGGGGTTGGAGGGGTTGGAGGGGTTGGAGGGGTTGGAGGGGTGGGAGGGGTTGAGGGGGTTGGAGGGGTTGGAAGGTGTTTGCCATAGAACCACCCACTGGGGTGGCTTGTGAGCAGGTCTTCCGCAGTGATTGAGGTGTAGCTGTTGAAGCTTGATGGCTGTCACAGAAGGAAGTCGTGAGATTAGCCGTGCTTGACAACTAGCTGGAGACGTATTCGCAGAATTCATCCACCCAAAACTAGAGATGGACCCCCAAGGATCCCACAATAAGTTGAAAACCAAAGCTCGTCGTGAAGCTGTGGGGTAGCCATAACTTGCCCTGTAAGCAGTTGCCATTTGGTTGGATCATGCTGGATCGATATGATCACGATATTTAGGCCCTCAGGAACAGACACAGCACAAACTCAAGATTGTTCACGGGATTGCAAGCAACATACTTTAGGAGCTCTGTTGACCAGCGCTTATTCTCACAGATCTCCGCCCAAAGCCAATCTGGCACTGATGTTCTCTGGTCCAACCGGGGCAAGGAGTCTGCAATAGTTGATGGAATAAGGGAGACTCAAGTGACACACAAACACACACCAAGGTATCTCTAGACGTTCCCGGTCTCTTGTCGCTCCTATGGCTCTGTCCGACAGCCAGGGGCCCCGGCACAATCCCAGGGCCACAATCAGCGCACCGCGCACCGGACGGCGGATCGCCATGGTCACGGAAAGAAATCGGAGAGCGAGGGGGCCGGAGGCAAAACTTGCGCTCGCGGGCCGACAACGGGCGACAACGGGTGAAGACCAGACGTTTCTTGCTACTCGCGAGAATGTGCTTGGCAAAAGATGCAAAAACAAGCTGGTTGAAGTGTCCATGCCCTTGAATCATTGGGAGAGGATAGCGTCCATGACTATTTGTAGCGATATGATGTCTACCAATGGCCCTTGAAACTTGGACAAGTCAAGATCAATCAAGATCAGGTCCATTGTCCGAATGCTACCGGCATAAAATGGAGATGCAGCCAGAATTCCGGGAACCGCGGGCTGGGTTGCGCTTTGTACTTAGGGAATGAGCTTTCTTCCTTCATAAAGTTGTCGTGAAAGGTTGTCGGTGAGCAAAGGGAATGTAATCACAAAAGTGGCAACTTGGCACCACGCTATGCCTCAGACTGGATCCCAGGAATGCCACTCTGCAGCCTGCCGTTCTTGATGCAAGGACGCATATTAAACCATGATGATCATGGCCCGACCCAACAACCTACCAGCATAAAGCAGAATATTGCGAATCCGATTGTCAGGAATTGCTGGTTTGCAGGCTGGGAGTGTTCCCTTCCGGTTCAAACAACAGCCAGCTCGGATATGCCCGACCACCAACCCCTGGTTGATTCTTAAAAATGTGCCGTGTGTTGAGGGGATTCCTCACTATAAGGGAAACACCCTGCAATCCATTTAAGTACACGACTCCGTCAGCCGTATTGATGGGGGTGCAACTTTAGAGGCACAAACCTCCATAGAAAAAGAAAACTCCACCCGTGCTTCTTGGTGGTTTTCCAAGGGGATCCCTCCCCTCCCCCTCTAAAACACCGAAAAACAAGAAAGAAAAAAAACAACACGAAACCAGGCACAACCTCTAGGGTGACCCAAAGACCCCCATGCCTCAAGGGCAGCCTCCAGCACATGGCGTAGCTCCAAGCAGTCGTTCCTCCTGGGAACCGTTGGATTCAAGTGGTGGAAAGCGCTGCTTCTCTTGCCAAACGAGGGGAAATCGATGAAATGTCTGGGGGGTTGGAATCCTTGGAAGGGTCCAGAATTTCTGGCCGGATGAGTTTGATTCATGTCATCCGGATCGTGCCAATCGCCCAAACATGTTTCAACAAAGGTCATGTGGGGAGCCGGGGTTTCATTTCCCTAAGTCTCTCAGGATCTTGAACCCATCCCTTGTGGTTTACTCTTTACTCCCCCTCGGGCAGGTCTTTGGCAAGTGCCTGGCCTGATCGACTCAGATTCCCTGAAAGGAAAGCCGGCCGGGGTTCTCGGAGCTTCCATGGGCTGTCTTTCAAAGGCTACGTCATTACTTTTTACTCTAGTGTCTTTGGCGCTATCCGATTCCCCCACGGAAAGGGCAACTCACAATTAATCCTTCGAAACAGCACATATATGGAGCAAGCTTGTGCTTCGACGTCTTTTCACAAGTCGACTTCCGCAAGATGTGCTTGTGTTGTTCTGTCCTGTAGAATCTGGAACAAAAAGGCACAGGAACGCCGACATGAACCCTTACTCGGTTGCTTTCTGCTCCCCTGCTATGACTTTAACTTTTAGAGGTTTCATACGGAAAGCCCAAACTCGTTGGCAAAAAGTTAAAGTCCTAACATCCCTTCGCAACATGCCCCAAAGCTTCGCCATGGCAACCTCGGATTCCGGGCTTGGCTCTCGACCCGCGCCTGGGCCGCGGAACCTCCGGCGAGTCCAGCTTCTGCGACTCCGGCGAGTCGGGCAGCGGCGTCTCCGGCGAGTCGGGCGGCGGCATATCCGCTGAGGACCTCGCTTCGACCGGACCGAGGTCCAAAATTTGTGCCTTAACTTGCTGGTGCGATAGGTAGGGAATGCGGGAATGACCCCTACAAACCATCTCCTATGGTTTCCTTCAAGGGGACCCCTGGGTTCATTCCCAAATTTCCGTACGGATCGCACCAGCAAGTTAAAGGCAAAAGGAAACCGATAGCAAAATTTCTACCCGAGGCTTGGTCATCTCTTAGAACGGCGAACGGCTGGGAGCAAACCTGTTTTGTTTGGTATCGCGGTATGCAGAAGACTCCTCATGGAACATGTTCCTTATGCACCAAAGTGCTTGATTCCCATCCCACCACATCTTTACGACATGGAGGAATCTTACTGCTCCCTGTGTTAAAGATCTCATGTTTCAGGATGGCATTTGGCAGCTTTTTAGCATTGTTTTCCTCCAACAGCAACGGCTATGGGAGGCTTCGCCAATGCTGGGGCAGCTCCTGGAGGGCTCTGGTCTAGTCAAAGGCTTGCAAGGGAGCAATTCATCGACAGCTGGTAAAGGAATACTGTGGTCAAAAGGGGAGAAAAGAGAAATACTCCCTTTTGCGGGTTCCCTAATTTAGAGACATACCCACATTCAAAACCGTGCGGTCTATCCACTTGTACACATGCCTCCGGCTCGCTGAAAAGACAAGGTATCTAAGCAGCAAGAGCTCGAGTTTTACAGTCAAATTGGACATCCAGCTATTGTTGAGTTTCAGCATTCATTCATGAAGACCTCGGTGAAAGCGCTTGGAAAGCCATGCGTTGAGCCGCAGGCTTGAGCTTCCTAGACCAAAGATGTCTTGCATGTGCTTGGGCCATGGCCAACGAAACCTGCCAACAAAGCGTTCGAACTGCGCCTGCGCAGAAGGCAAGCTGACCGCCAAAGCGATTGAAGAAAACGGAGGTGTTCACTCCACCCCGAACAACTGGAGCCGGGCCACTCACAGCTATTTTTTGCGGACTCCCTTTCAAATGCGGGAGTACCAGGTGCGCTTTGCTTGAAAGTGTGTCCTCGCCTCGGGCATGTGGCTATTGGCGGGAGGCTGGCAGGCCTTCTTCAGTTCCGAAAGACATTGCTGGGTTTCATTTCACCGGTGATTGATGTGTGTCCCACCCTTGAAGATCAGCTAACTTGCCCGGGCCACGCGACCCTCGGATCCTGTCCCGCGTCAAAACCGATCGATGCCCCTTGCCTCAGGCCTCTCCCTGCCCCTGGAACAGCGCAAATGCCGAGCATAGTCACGTGGCAAAACCGGCTCCCGGTGCTTCCATTTGACCGGTTGCTGAGTGTTGAATTGGGGGCTAAGCTAGCAGTGGAAAGAAGCCAAACTGGTGATGCACTGGCCTTTTCGAGTATGGGGTTTGAACGTTTGAAGGTTTTAGCGGAGCATGGAAGCAAGTATGGACGCCTTGTAACAGCTGTGTGTCAGCCCACTTGTGTACCACCTGAAATAACAACGATGAGGACTGATCGAACTTGCCCTCGCACGATCACGAGGAAACCACTGTTCGAGCAATCCGTTCAGAGCTGTACATGTTCAGCACGTATTTTTTACGTGATACGACCTGAGACCCAACCACCACCATCTTCTCGACGCCTCCTGCCGGTTTTCCTAGATCCTAGAAACGCCACAAGCAACCTGGCAACTGAAGAAACGGTCAAAACGAGGGGTCCCTGCTCAAGCCGATGTTGTTTTTCGCCAGCTTCGACGTATTCCCAAACTTTCTGCCGAAGGATTCTCAAGCTACAGCCTTGATAGTTCACAGTTGCATCCGGTTCAATGACCTGGCAGATGTCACCTCGCAAAGCTCCATTTGTCTAATAAGACAGCCTGGGTTTGAAGATTGCGCGGGCTAGTCAAAAAATGAATCCGAGCATACATCCCAAACCCTGCCGCTTCCATGAATGATTGAATTCATAGCCATGGCTACTGACAGTCCAAATTACTTGCTCCCCCAAGAGCAAATGGCATTTGTTTTGCAAGTTCCTGGTTTTCGTGGGACATTTCGTGTGCCCCCATGTCCCTCTGAAACAAACCACAGACTGCCGGAACCGGGCGTCGCCTAGCTGAGATCGCCGGCCCTGCTCCATCCGCTGCTTCGCTTCCAGCCGGTCCTAGCCAGGCGCCCTTTGAGGCCGCCGATCCATCCGTTTCACAGCAAAAGTTGGAGCGGCTCCTTGGCGTCTTTGGCTTTGGAGCCGAATCCCCCCAAAAGAAGCAACCCGGTTTCTCCCCAAGGACACATCTGGAGAGTACCTGACCAAATTACAAAACCCTGTGGCCGGGTGGCCGAATACTCGCTTGCAACTTTGCGTGCTTCAGGCCGTTGTCAGGCCCTCATCCCCACTTGTCTGCGTCAATAAAGTCACACACAACTGATATCCCAACAGTCCACGTGCAACGAATCAAAACAAACATGCCACCATCTATGTTTGGTGCATTCTTGCCCTGTTTGGTGAAATTCTCATGGTACGACCTCCCCATCCCTGTATCAATACTATTCACGGAAGGAATGGTGCCATCCACTTTCAAGGTGTACCCCAGGGCTCCCTGCATTTGACCAGTTGCAACTTGGTGGTTTCTAATGGTTTCCTGCCACTTAGGAGGTTCCAGGGAAAATCCAGGAAACCCTCGCTTCATCAAACCCGCCTGGTAGGCCTGTCTGCGAGCCTCCTCCAGCTCTTGCATCCTGGCAGCCTGAGGCCATCGGAAGCAACCGGGGGTTTTCGGGCTGTCGTTGGCATGTGGTGTGCGGTGTAACTCTTGGTGGATTTGGGAATGTTGAAAGATTTGGTGAGCAATCCTTACAGTACAAGCAATGTTACATTCTTCTGATTGTTCTGGTGAACTATGCTCTACCTTAGCAGCAAATCCTCCCTGACGCATTTCTGAAGCCCTTTTCAACCTGAGCACGTCGGACCCCCGAGACCCAAAGTCAAATTCGATTCAACCGGTTGCTCCAAAGATTTCGGCCAGGGCAAAAGGGAAACCAAAGGGCCCAAGACACATCTGGGCTGCCCTCAGATCCCCCGCTAAAAGTGATAAGTTTAGTGGGCTAAATGAAAAAAACTACTAAACACTAAAAAGCTAAAAGGCTAAGGGGATGGCTGGGAGCCACCAAGACATGCTCGGCCTGTGCGGTTTCTACTTCAGCTTGTGCCCCCGACCACAAAATTGTCTGTTTGATGTGTCTTGTAAGCAGGTTCCACACTTGAGGCAACTCACACATCCAGCCAACCGGAAGATGACGCTCAAAACCACTAGAAAACAAGGAAACACGGGGGGGGGGGGGGGGGTGATACTTTGCTGGGGAACCCTTTGGTGGACAACATGCAGGGATTCATGCCCGCCGACCACTTTGGAGGTGGTTCTCCCATTGAAATCACGGCCAAACTAACATCGAAGCCCGCGATGTGTCCGTTTTGGCGCCACTTGGGAGGTGGTTCCCCCGTTTAAAAATCGAAGCCCGCGGTCGCTTTGGCGCCTGCTTCGCCTCCTTCTCCTCTTCCGCTCGGCGTCTCACCGCCTCTCGGTGGTCAGGCGTGCTGCTGCCGGCCCGCGGCCGTGGCTCCGGCCTCAACATGTCCAAAATTGGATGGTGGCTGTGCGCGTCAAAGGTACCTCTGGTGTCCTCTAGAGCCCAGGCGTCTGTGAAAAGATCACATAGGGAGCCTACCGTGGAAGGTTGCAAGTCATTCATTTTGCACCACCGAGGAGAAACCCTAGTTTCTGATTCAGTTGCCCAACGTAAATACATACCAAGAAACAAAAGCTTCAACCATGGTTTCAAAGTGCTGCGAAACGGATTTTGGCCATCCACAGTGTGTATTGGCGGGATTGTGCTCTCGCGCCTTTGGCGAAGAGTAAGCAGAACGCTACTCTACCAGTTTACGGTGTCACATGTGCTTAAAAACCTTCCGATTCGGGGCGGCCGATATGCCTGAAATGATCAGGGCACATACATTTATTATTTCATTCACTTGTCTATTTGTGTATTTCTTCATGTATCTGTACGACGGACCACACTCCTTGGAGGGGGCCTTTTGTGCTGGCCCCCTTTCTCGGAATCCTCACAAGGGTTCTTCAACAATGCCTACTAGGTCCTCCAGTAGAGAGGCCAGAATAAGGGTACCCTTTTTTTCTGTAGTCTATGTTAATTCGTAGGGGAACCCTCCCCCAAAGGGAAGAGAAGGGCTACTGGGGTACCTAGCCTATTGAATCCTACGGCTTGATGACCGTCGGTACCCCGCCTCTCCACCCGTCGCTCGATCTCCGGCGGCGCCGTGGGCGCCCTTAGGAGCGCGTCTCCGCGGCAGCGCTCCTTGGCAAGGCGCGCCACCTGCCAGTCAAGGGTTCTTAAAATCGGTCTTGGGGTTGGCTGGCTCACTTGCCCAAAGGACCTGGAAATGAAGGGTTAACGACCAAATCACAGAAACCAAAAGGTCACAAGGTCGGCTTTGGGCAAGTGAGGTGTGTAAAACAAGACTAAAGGCACCCGGCCATCTTTAGGGACATCCTTTAGGACACCTTCCACCTATCCACCCTTGCCTGCCCTCCAACGAACGAAAACAGTCCGTATCTCCGACTTATCTCCCCTTGCAAGTCATGGGAATACTGAGCGGGGTGGCAAGTCGTGTTCCATACAGACTAAAAACAATAATCACGATTTTGGCTTTGGCGAGCGAATCATGTCCAGCGGCTTTCTGTGTGGCTTTGGCAATTCGATGGTTCCTGGTGGTTTCCCTTCACGCAGTCACGGGCCCCTGCCAGCAACACGTTTGATGCGGGGTTTCGCAAATCCAAACTTCAACCCTACGAACTCCCCGGGTGGTTACGTGGGAGCTCCAAGCGATCTGCAAGGACGTCCACAGGCTCTTGCCTTCCGGGCTCTTGAGAACAGAGCCAACGCTACTCCACGATCCTCCTGTCCACTAACATGAAACCCACCAGAGGGTGCCTTTTAAAGGTGAGCCCCAAGTCAGGATCCATATGGACGCTAGGGTAGCCGCAGGCAAGGATTGAGGCTCGCCTGTGATCAGCCCCCCGCCTCGCGATTCCGGAAGAACTCGGCACGGACCTCTGGCGGGATCCCAAAAGAAGCTCCTTCATAGCCGTGCTTCAGGTTAGCTTTTCGGGGCTGAAGGATTCAGTGCAAGACATTCGGCTGAAGGCTTTTGAAAGGCTAGAGCGGCAACAAATCGAAGGGGACTCTTGGCGCAAATAATTCTGCCCCAAATATCACTGTAGGATCCCAACCTTCCCTAAACCCCACCAAAGCAAGAACCGGGCGCAGAAAAGTATAAGATAGTGACATGGTCAACCACGCCCGTGCAAAAAAATAGTTGGCAAAAAGTAAAAGTCCTAACATCTCCAAGCAAAATGCACCAAAGCAAAGGCGCTCCTCCAACCTCATGCTTTTTGTCGAGTTCGGAACCCCAGAAGGCCGGCCCTGGAACTGCACCGAAACACCAAACTCCAGCGCCAAGCACTCGACTCCGCGCCAACACCCTTGACCCTTCACCAAGCCGACTCTCAGCTGCAAATCCGCAACTTGGGTGTTCAGTCAAGTTTGCAAATTGTTGGTAACCTGGGTTGTAACCCACTTATAAGCCCCCCAAAGTGAAATTAACCTTGTTAGTATTGGGTTATAACTTATAACCCAGGCTAACCGCTTGCTAACTTGGCCGAACATCCAACCACAAACTCAAGTGATCACCTTTCGGGGCTGACGAGAAAACTGGCTCACCCGAGGTCGAAAGGTCTAAACCAAACCTGCTTGAAACATCAAGAACAACCAGGTCAATTTGCCAGTGGTTAAATTCAATCGGCTGAACCTGGTCAAGTTGCTGAATGGTTGCAACTACCCAAACCGTGGCGCCAAAAACACAAAAGCTGTTGGGGCTTACACCTTGGCAAGACAAAATGATTGAAGGCTTTCTCAATGCCGCAAGGTCAAGCCAGGCCAACAAATCAGGCTCAACTACTATAAAGGCCAACAAAACTGCTTAGAATGGGTATTTGGGCTGCTAGTAAGGCAAATTCTACTAATCCATAGGGCAACCAAAATTGTTTAGCCCCCTGCATTCAGGTTCAAATTCAAACAACAAAAAAAGGGCCTCCGCTGAATCTCTGAGCCTCCCGACCGCCTCGGCAGTGTCCTGCAATGACTAAGCCAAGGAAAACTGGCAACACGGGCCAATGCTCGTTGAAACTCAGAACACAAGCTCAGACATGCAACACTTTGTCTGTGTGTACACATGATGTGTGTATATGTATATATATATATACATGTGCATATATAAATATATATGTATGATGGTTTGTTTCGGACAAATCTCTGCGTGTGTGTGCAGCCAAAGTGCAAAGTTGACATGCAGGATGAGCATGGCAGCAAACACGTCGATATTTTTGGAGAGCAAGCCACGCGCGACATTCCAAGTCCAAGCCTCTGGGCCAACTGCTTGGCCTGCTTCTTGTTTTTTGCGGATTTGGGCGGGGGTGGTTTAGAGGGACGCCAAAAGGACATCAACCATTTTGGAGGGTCAAGACACCCCCCATGTAGACAAACCGTCAAACATACATGCTGCAATTGGTATTGTCATTGTGCCGGGGTCACAACTGATGTTCGCACGGAAGCTTTGGAATCGTGTTCCGCCGGCTGAGTTTTTGCTTTCGGACAGCCATGGCGCCTGGCCGCTGCTCACTTTTGGAACCATGGCAACATGGCAAGTCACCCTGGATACTAAAGTGGGCCATTCCCTTCTCAACGATGAGTCCGGAAAATCGTAAAGTAAATTCCCAAAGAGTCAAAACATAAATCCTGAACCTGGGGTTTGCCTTTGACCGCCTTACGATGGGAATCCAATATACCCTGTGACTCAGTGTAGAAACCCTTCTTCAAGGGTCTTCGCTGCAGGAGAACAATGGCAGCTGAAATCCATTCCATGTGCCCCAAAATAAACCCCATAGACTGCTGGATTTTGCGCTCAAACTTACAACCTTTAGAATACCCTTGACTTGGTCAATCAACCCTCAATCCAAGGACTTTAATCTTTACTAGATGTAAGATGCTACCGAACGTTGACCCGGTTTACCATATTGGAGACCCATCCAAAAACGTCTCTCTCTTTCTCCTGGGCCGGGCTACAGGGGCTTGGCGCCAGCGGGTGCGTCGCCTTCTGCGTGCGGATGATGTCAGGCGCCTTGGACCCGTCCGCCCCGGCACGGTGCGAGTCCCCACAGCTGCCAATCCGTGGAGCGGAGCCACATGGGCTTGGGATGGGATCTTGGGGGGTTCAGGGTCCTGGATCAACCCTGGCCAAGACAGCTGTTCGGGAAAGCTTCGAAGAATTTTCTGATTGGAGGACCGCCGTTTGGATGTACAAAGGGAAGCCAAAAGGGAACCAAACAGCCGCAACTCGACAATGGTTAGTTGTAGCGGGGGTGCGTCACTGCCTGACTAAGAATTTATGGACGTCGACGTCTAACAAATAGCAACTCCCTCCCAACTTGCAAGTATCTTACACACGCCTGAACGGCTACAAGTCGGAACTATCAATTGGAAGCACCTCTTCGATTTTACCTTTCGGTGGTTTTGAGATTAGGAGGTAGCGTCTCATGTTTGCAACAAGTGGAGGCTCAAATACAAACTCCGCGAACACTTGTCCAAACCACTGAGTTGGGGCAACTCGACCTGCATAGATTCACTGATTGTATACCAATGTATACATCCTCACATGAACCCGTTGCCCGGCATGAAGCCATCTTTCACAATCAATTCACCGGTTCACTGAACGGAGGTCTATGAGATTGGGCTCCTGTGCCATGGTCCGGAAGGCAGTTGACCAACAAAATGCATGTTACTGCCTTCGATTCGGCCTGGATCGTTCAACTCGATCGATCTCGGGATCGCCTCAGGAGAAGATTCTCCCTCTAACTCCCTGCTGTGGTCGAGGAGGCTTTGCATGTGGTGCCTGGAGACAAATGCCAAGGCAGGGTGAAGGAGTGGGATAACCCAAGTTTTCCCAAGACTCCCGAAGGAAGCCCCAACTTGGTTCCCACCTTCCAATTTCAAGGTGTTAAACCCATCCCCAAAACATCCCCTAGTTTAGACATATGGCCATGTCCCAAAACATGGCCGTCGTAAATGCGGCTTGTCAAACCACACTGCCATTGAACTGGGAACCCATCATGAAGAATGCTTGGTTGAATGAAGGAAGTCTGCAATCCAGTTCAGGAGAGATCTGGATCACTCTCCGTATGTCTTCCAACATGTCTCACTCTCTGGAAAAAATCAAGCAGTTACTCTACCTGCTAAGAAACCGTTGCTCCCCGGAGGCCTGACTTAGATGCTGCTTGATAGGTTGTTTCTTTCAAAAGTAGGGCACACCTTTTTCAGCTTTCATGTGCAACATGTGTTGTCTCTCAACGAGAAGATGCTCTGGCGTCAAAGCAGCTGGAGGCAACATGGTCACCAAACCGCTCCGCTCCCAGCTATTGATGGGGCTATCAGTTTGTGAATCATGAGATTATGACTCAATTGATTGGGAATGAGTCAAGCTATAGCAGCTAGAGACTCCTCCCAATGCTTGGCTTCTTTTGGTGTTCCCTTGAAAGCGAAGTCAACAAGGGTGCCCAGTTGTTGCACACTGCCACAAGCAGGAGTCTACAAGATGATCTTGGGAAGCCAAAAGGTCAAGAGGCCGACTTCGGACCAGTGAGAATGTCAAGGATGGCTGTCGATGCCCAATAAACTGATCTCATGATCCAAGTTCTTCGCGCCTAGTGAAGCTCATGCCCAAAATCTGCTCCAAGCGGAGCCGCAGCCGTGGATCCTTCCTCAGTTCCAGGTTCCGGGGCCCGGAAAAAGAGGCCCCGCGTCTTTCCAGGCAACTCACATACCAAAAGGGCATCCTTCTTGGGTTGGTTGAGTGACCCACAAAATGGAAAAAGGGCGCTACTGGGCCACCCAGGTGTGAAATAAGACTTGTAATACCAATAAAATATCCCTCCAACCATGACGATGTCACTTTGGGATGACCTTTGTGTCACAAACAATTGGGCAACCAATTACCCAAGCCTGTGCAAAGCCGGCTTCCAAAAAAAACACTTATCTTCATGGCACTTTTCAAAAGCGCAAAGCTGCCAGCTACTGTAAGGTACAAATATGGGCAAAGAAGGCCTTACTAAGACCTTCACAGCAAGGGGTCTGTGGAAAGCGTTTTCCGTGACGCCCTTGGAACAAGCGGATTTGAGTGAATTCACTTGTCACTCTGCACATATCCAGTGGCAGTGGGCCTGTGTTTGGTTACTTGTCCCTTGCCGCAAACGCTATAGGTAGCCAGCGTTTGAGTTACCTTGTGTCTGCCTTGTGCACATCAGTTGCTCCTTTCTGGCCCCAAGTTCACTGGGCCAAAAGTCGGCTGGGTGTGAAGACATGCGGAGCAGGTCATTCACCGCATCCAACGCAAAGTAATATTTGGCCACCTATGGCGCTATGGCCAGCAACAGATGCACCGTCCATTCAGTCTGTTCTTGACTGCAGCCACCCAAGGAGTTGCCGAGAACACCTGCTTTTAGGTTGATTGGGGTCAACTCACTCTGGTCGTCAGATATCAAGCCCTCAAGACTTCAATGGATCCATTCTTCCCAGGCAGTCACAACCACCTCACCCAGAAATCCTGAGCTACGGTTGATACACTTTTGTGCAATGCATCTCATCAAGTCAATCAGCAGGGCTTCTGCTTGTGGCAAGTGCTCACTCCTCCAAGACAGTTCCGCCTCAAACTGCGAAGCCCCTGCCCCCGCAAACTCTCACAACACTGGAATCCCCCAAAACGATACCTGCAGGGAAGAAACATCACACTTACGCAACCCAAAACCGCCCAACAAGATCACACCCAGCAAAAACAGCCAACTCGCCCCCAAGTCCGGGGTTCACCAAAACTCAGTTTCTGGTGACCACAGTCCAAAAGCATAATTTACAACTTTTTGGACCCCAGTAATTTGCAGTGACCTGGGAACCCCCCAAGCCAACATTCGGCGCTTCGCCCGGGGGGCGACAAGAGCCCGAAGACGATGTCCAGGAAGCTCCTTGAGAAGCTTGGGCTGAGCGGCGCCGGCTCTGCTGAGCACACCTAGCTCAGGGCCCGTCCCAGTTACCTCGCTTTTCCTCCCAGTCATGGTAGCTGACAAGAGGGTTTGGGAAGACTAGGTTCCAAATTTGGCAGAAGCCTGTCCGCTTCCATGGTGGCTGGAAAGTACATACTACCTTGCATGGAATATCATGGCATGCTGCATTTCGCATGGCATTGATTAGTCTTCATGCGACTACCAAACACACATCTTCTGGATTTGGAAGTCGAAACGCCTGAAAGGATGCCATTGGACTAAAGGAAGACCTACTGGTGTGGTGTTGGGTTTGGATTTGGTTTGGTTTGGGCGGATGTGGATGCTTGATGTTGATGTTGATTTGTTTGATTTGGTGTGTTTGGTTGTGTCGCTGCTTGCTTGGCATCCCGGAGGGGAGGGGACTTCATGATTCAATCGCCTATAGAGATTGCTTTGAATGCTTGGGCGTGGGGATACTTGGGGATGTGAATTGATCCCAAGAATCACTCTGGACGAGCAATAACGAGCACGCCTTGGACAAAGATGGATACAGTGAACTTGCTCAGAGACAGCGCCCCCCGGGTGTCTGGGCCAAACCGCCCTTTAGGAAAACGACCAACTCGATTCTCGTCGCCTTCATGATGAGCGCCACCATGGAGGCGGCCTGAAAGGGCACCTGAGCGACGAAGAGCCCAGCGGGAAATGAGCAAACGGCGAAGCAAACCAAGGGGATCAACGAGGAAGACAAACCAAAAAGGTGAAGGAAGTTAATTTCCAAAAACCAAACGGAAAACCAAGGCCAACAAGAAGAGCCAACCAAAAAGTGAAGGAATTTACCAAACAACAAACGGAAAGGAGGGCACCTGGCTGCCAGGGAACCGAAATCAATGGGAACAAGGAGACCCAAACCAAGCAAGAAACGAAGAACTGACCAACACTGAGGAAAACCTAAGGGACACCAAACAAAGGGAACCTAAGGGAAACCAAAGGGAACGAATCTAAGGGAAACGCATTGACATTTAGCTTAACCAGCAATGTCAGGATTTCTCGAGGGATCGCTATACCTACTTGTGTTCGGTCAAGTTAGTGAGTTGTTGCTAACCTGGGCTGTACGACACCCCATGTAGAACCCCCTTAAGTGGAGTTAACCTCAAGTGGCGTTTCACTTGGCTAACTTGGCGAATCGAGCTTCCAAGTACCCCAAAATGGTCACATGGCGGTTGATCAAAAGGTCCTTTCCATGGGAGGACCCATGGGAAAACCACGAAACAGATCTAAACAAATGATATTTCCCATTAAATGGAAAAGGTTTTACCCATGCTCATTTAGTGGCCAGGAATATTGATGAACCCCATGAGTTTGTGGAGGTTTGGGGCGCTCACCGGATGGAACTCGCCTGCAGCGCCGCCATCTCGTAGGTCACCACCCCCAGGGACCAAAGGTCGCTCTTCGTTCCTCTGTTCGCGTCACTTGCTCAAAGCCCGGTATTAAAATGGTCGACCCAGAACCATGCTTCAAGAATTAAGAAGCCGGAGATCCGCAGCTATTTGTGGTGATTGTCACTAGCTTCATCTTCCCGGGTTTTGATTGTGGCTCATGGTGTGCCCCGCTGGCTCGACAGCCACAGGGATCCATAAGGTCGGTTCCAAAACCCCTTCCCTGAGAAACAACAAATCTGCTCCGGTCTCCACAGTTGCTTCTAAGACCGGATTGGCAAGGGCAGGACTTTGGTCCCCGGTGGAGAAGGAAGCGTTCAGAAACAACATCAATTCTTGATTTTCAGTTTTGGCTCAGAGCAACCCTGCTTTCCTTGTGGTTTCCACTGACAAAGGCAAAAAGGCCTATGTCCCGCTCCCCGACTCAATCATGCATTGGCCGGGGCTCTCTTTTGACCAAAGCCGGGGGAGGGATTTCGAACCCAAACGTTGCCCGGGATAAACTGGTGTCCTTTGTGAGGCACCTACTTCGGCTTGGAGCAAAGGAGAGTGCAGGGAGGGACATCAGAAAGCGCCCCAATCCAGAAACCTGAAGCACTCTCCTTTGTGTCGAGCACTAAGTGAAACCACAATAATCTGTGCAAAGGGCCTGTTATAAGCCTGCTTGAGATTGACATGGGCTAAGCAGCACAGATTCCAAGAATCACTCAACATGGTGTTCTTTGTTTCATGCATTGGCTCAGCTCTGTTTCCCGTCACTTCCTTGCTGTCACACATGCCAACGTCACAGTCTGTTGACCACTTGGAATATACATACCGGCAAACGGTAGCCAGGTAAGATTGGGATTCAGCCTGAGAGAGTCTGCAATTCCTTGCTATGCATACAAGCTTGTTTCGGGCTTTAGGAAAGTGCTTTTGTTGGGGGAACAGTGTCAACCAGTACAGGCATTCAACTGTCACTCATCAGTCTGCAAAAGCAACATGGTCTGCACGCTGCATTATTTCCACCGAGGTGCCGTATGCCTCGCCGCTGCAAATCTCCGGCGCCAGGTACAAAGGTGTGCCGATGGTCGTCTGCGCCCCGGCAGTGGTGCTCTCGAGAACCTGGTAGGCGCCAAGCTGAGGAAGAACCTATAGGCTCCAAGAATCCAGCTACCCACTTTGAGGGTGTCGCTTTTTTGGAGAGTACCCGCGCAAAGCGGTTGGTTTACACCATGTACGATTCCCATATTTAGACAGAGACCAACTTTTCTAAACCCAAACAACAAAGGATAGGGTGGTCCTCTTGTCACCTGTTGACCTGGCATAGCTCCAAGAAGAATTCAGAACCACTTTGCTCAGGCCATATTTTTTGTTCCCGCCAAGCTGAGTCGAGAATCAATCCTAATCCTTTGGAGGGACCCCCTAACATTACGCATCCCAAGGGGGTTGGCCCCTTCCAAGTCCGCAGATCCCAAGATGGGCACAAGTTTGACTTACACACATTATCTGCATGGTGGACACCATTTTGGTTGGGATTCATGTCCAGAAACCGCTTTTGAAAGTGCCCAACCATTCAGACTCAGGCCCAAATGGGTTCGTCTTTGAGTTGGCACCCCCTTTGTTGGTGGTTTCAAAGGAAACCCAAAAGGACACCAAAGACAAGCCATTGTGGGGGGTCCAACTCTTTAAATAAAAAAATATGAGAAATCGAGGGTTTATTGTTGGAATACCAATGGTCGGTTGTACCACTTTTCCACACCTGCAGTGCCCCAATACAAGTACTGGAGCCGCAAATTGTGGTCTTAAAGCAAAACCAAAAGCACACCACAGACTTTGGCCATTTCTGGGCTCCAACTCCTAGAACTAAGACCATGGCCCGCCGTTCTGGGGTTTCAGAGGTCAACCGAACGTCGGGATGCCTTGGAGATGCCAAAATCCCCGAGCTTCACGATCCACCGACGCGTGAGGAAGATGTTCAGGGGCTTCCTGAGCAAAAATTGGCGCGGAGCCCCCCCTCACCCCCCCCCCCGGGTGTGGCGGGGCGGGGCCCCCAAGATGCGGCTCCTTTTCGTGTCCCTTCAAACCGACCCAACCAAAAGGGTGCCCCATAAAAACACACAGAAACAGATCCTGGTCTTGTACTGAGTTGCTTGATCCAAGCGATGCATGCGAGTGGACCGTTTTGCTTCAGCTTATCACCCCGACTACCTGTTCAAGCAAAGGAATCGCGCGTGTCAGCCAAGACCCCTCCATACATTGTTACCCTTGGAGCCAAACGTGACAACGCCCTTCCATACCCTACTTATGTTGAGACTGCTATACTACTTAGGGTGAAAGTAGATGGCATTCCCTTTATGTTGGCAAGTAAATGGGATGGCTAAGTCAAAACTGGGAAATTGTGATGTCTACTGTCACCCAACTGCACATCCTTCGTTTCTCTGCGGATCTTCAATCTGCATCTCCACCGTTGCGGGGGGACAAGCAGGGGACCCAGCAACATGCTGAGGATATCCGAGGATAAAGATGTGTGTCCCTTTGGCAACCATGATGCACCATATGCGAACTCGGACAACTGCTCCACAACAAATCATCGAACATGTGCTGCTTGCCACGAGTCTACTTCCTGCATAAACTAAACTCGGTTGCTTTCTGCTCCCCTGCTAGGAGTTTAACTTTTAGTGGTTTAATGGAAAACCCATTCGTTGGCAAAAAGCAAGTTCTAACATCCAAGCAACATGCACCAAAGTAAAGTCATGTGGCCCTGACGGCGCTGTCTGCAGTCTGTCGCCAAGCTGTTGGTTTGGCGAGAAGCTTCGAGAGCCAAGCGTCAGGTCGCGATGCAAGATCTTGAGGCGGTGGATATGCGTCAAGGCCAATGCCAGCTGAAGGTGGATGTGCATTATCTCCTTCTCACTAAAGGATCCTGAACGGGGCAAACCACTTCCCAATCTCCGAAAACGCCAAGGCTGTTTGCTCGGCCAAACGGCACCCCTGTCCAGTGTCACCAAACCCGGGTCATGCGCAAACCTTAGCAGTGCGTCACAATCCAAAGTTCAACACGGATGCTAGTTTATGTTATCACGGAGAGTCACAAGCAGTGCGAAGAATGATTGGGCCAAACAGTGTAAAAGACCTCCCAGGTGATCCCTAACTCAATCATGAGGACTGCACATCAATACCGTTCCGGTCATCCTCTTGCTCTCTCTTTGCGCCATTTGTTTAAGTAAATCCACATGAGTTTCCGTTGGCGCGTCCTTGAGTCTCGCGGCGCAGCTTGATCTGCGTGGCGAGGTCGCCGAAATCGGCGTATTCCATGACGATATACAGCAGCCTGGTGTCCATGAAGGACTCCACGTAGCCTCTGCACTTGAGTCGCAATCAAAACCTGGTACTAAAACAGTCTACCCGGAGCCATGTACAGGATTAAGAAAGCGGCCGCAGCTATTTATGGTTGGGATCGTCCCTTACTAGCCTTCATCTACCCGGGTTTTGATTGTGGCTCACTTGAGCATTCGGACCAACACACCGCGCTGCAGTAGGTCTGGGGAAGACAGGCCAACCCACAATATTTTTTGAAGACCGCCTAGAAACAAAACGCCCAACTCGCATGTAATGAAGAGGCTGGACTTGCTGAGAGACCAGCGCACGAAAAGGACACGAAAACTGGAGCGTATGTGCCGAAAAGTCGCGCAGGAATACTGAAAAATGCGGAGGTCGGGGATGCTAATATTGCATTCCAGGAAGAACGGAGTGGCAAACAAGACATTCATGCTGGGTTCAGTTTTGACCTTCATTCGAACCCAGGCCCAATCTAAATGTTGCTGCACGCCTCAGCGGGCGAATGATCGCAACTAATTGACAATTGTGCTTGCAGTGTTGCCCCAAAATGTGTGATACAATGGGCGCACGTGCAGCGCTTTTCCTTGAAGCGCTCCTCGCCTGAACTTAAGTAAGGGATCACCATACGCAAGTCCCAACAGTTTGGCATGCACTCTGCTCAACACGATCGCGATTCTTCCTGCACGCGACCCTTCAAGTTGGTGGGAGATGCGACAACTTCCGATACCTGTCATGCTACAACATCGATAGCATTAATCAAACTGCGGATGCACGATTTGATCAACTTAAAACTGATATTGTGCCTCTCACTTAGAGCCAAATCATCACGGATTACTCCTTGTGAAGCATTACCGCCAATCATCTGACACAAATACTGTACTACAAATTTACAAGTGTTCGCACATTTCCTTAACATGCTCTGAGCCCTGTCAATGTGTCGAAGCGGGGCCTCCCTAGACATCTCGCCGGGGAGCGGATGATATTGGCATGCGACACCCGGCGCAGGGTCTCCGCCTCCGATAGAGCCAGCTGCTTCTCCTGCCAAGCCCTGAACCACTATTGTCGAAGCAACCTCCTGTGGCTTCCCTGTAAAGGGCATGGTTTGTTTGCTTCCTGAGCACAGAGATTGTGTCCGAATGGGAAAGCGCCTCTCCGGACGGCTTTGGCCTCCTTTGGGTTGCCTTGAAAAGAAACACAGTATAGGCAATCTTGAACTGGAACTGTCCATGGCTACATAGAGCTGCTCTTTTGTGCGGTGTTCTGAGCCAATTGCAAATCCTCAGTGTGTCTGCCCATTCGCCTGCCAAGCAGGATCCGACCGCTTTTGGGATCAGTTCCTGGCCAGCCAACGAACAAACATGTTTAAGGACGCAAATTTTATTGTGAAACTGTGGGAAGCTGACGAATGTGGTCAGATTTGTCCCATCAGCATCAAACAACAGTGCCAACAACAGGTCACTGATCTACTGCACATCTTGATGTCCAATCCCCCTCCTTGTCGCCCAAGTGGGAGATCCGAATCTCCTTGGCGACATACCTTGCAAAACTCAGAACCCTGCCCCAAGGGCGAAGTGAAATCCATTGGGTGACTACAACATATGTCTCGGCGAATTGTAAACCTGCTGCCACAGGACTAATAAACACCCCGCCCTGTTGAGGGATCGCAGACCGCAGGACCAGGTGCAGCGGACCAACCGTTGGCTCACATTCTGCGCCAGTGCTTCTCTGGAAATGCTCGGATTGAGAGTCTCCTCAAGCGGGTTGAGACCAAAGAGCTGAAGAATCTGGGTGAATTATAATATTGCACTAACCTAAATAAGGTGAGTGGGGGAATATTCCCAACATAGAACACCATTTGGGGTGAGGTCGTGTGAGGTCGTTATAATTCACCAAGAACAATGGCTTCGAACTATTCCGAGCTGTGCCGGGAGTTCCGACTGAAATCCAGGACGGAGGCTTTGCACAGGCGACGAGAATGGAGTCTCTTGGCAGGTCGAGGAAAGCACGTGCCATGATCCAATTCTCAGGTCTGGGGATGGTAGCTTTCTTTTCCCTTTACCGTTTTGTGGGGAGCTTGCCGAGACATGTTGAGGGAGTGTGTGCAGCTTCGCAGTGGTGAAAGCGTCAGCGAAGTCAAACCAGTGGAGAATTGCCACTTGCGGACACGGGTTCGTGCCAGCGGGCTCATCTTTTATGACCGGATGTTTCTTGAAGTCCTTCATGCAGTAGACGTATCCAGGTGCCATGTTTGTCTTCGGCTGAGTCAGAGCGTGATGCTCTGATTGCGTCAGCCAATGACCTTCTGGGGCTTGCTTTGGCTGCTGCGGCCATCGAGGGAACTCCTCCCAATCGGGTCACTGCAGCATATCGCTTGGTTGTGGAAATTCTGAGCAGGTTGCATTGCAAGCATGCATGGTATTCTACATAGAGAAAAGCACCTAGAGCTTCGTGTCAGGCTCTTCATGCTCTCCAAGGTCAATGGCAATGTAATGCATGCAACACAAGTAATGCATAAAGGAAAATGTTGGAACACCTTTTCATGGTCATAGCATGCTCCTAAGGGATCCTTCGCCTCAAGTCCTTTCAAGTTGGTATCGCCTGCATGCTTCCTCAGGGTGTATTCAGTTCACAATTCCAATGTTGGTGCTCTGACTGGGAGAAGAAACAACCCTAGCGATGCTTTCTGGAACAAACAGGCCAAAAGGGACCATCTCTTTCGAAGAACCACATCTCAAAGTGAGCCATGTCAAGCTTTTGACTCTTAGCCCATTCCCGAGTCTCGCTTGCACAAAGGGCCTGCAATCTTTGAAAACCATAAGGTCCGATTCGGTCGATCCGTTGTGGAAGCGAATTTGTTTCGGGTGGCATCCCACAAAGGCCCAAGAAGGACGAAACAGGACCACTGCCTGCTGTTTTTCCCTGCCGCATCGCTGTGCTTCTCGCGCATTGCATGTCAGCGCTTCCCCTGAGGAACTTGTAAATTGTCCGCCATGAGGGGCGGCAAGTCTCCCCCAGTAAAATCCGCAATCTCGCTCCAGCTTGCCACACTGGAAAACTGGAGTGTGCAAAACGAAAAACTGCAATGAAGGCTGATCTGGGTGTTTCCACGAGAAGCCTTGCACATGTTCCAAGCTTGTGTGCGACTTTGGCTTCCCTTCGACTCATCCCAGAAAGTTCCTTTCCAAACCAATTAAAGAGAAAGCCGTAGCCTGCTCTGAAATCAGGTTGCCCGGAGGCTCCCACTTACCAAAGCACGTAATCCTCGATATGGCGCCGCTGGGTGATGTTCCGGGGAATCCCCTGGTTGGCTTGTCAAGTTGTCCAGTGACCGACGGTTCAAAGTTCGACTGCCACAGAGGGTGGTGCTTTCGGCTTGGTGGGCCTATATGGCCACGGGTCAAAATCCCGTACCCCAGTGAACATCCCAATCCCAACTAAAATAGACTAAAATGGGTGGTGCACCTACCCCAAAATGGTACCATTGGTTTTGACCCAGAGCCATATGAATTCGCTATGAAGCTGCTGCGCCAAGGCTGGCCTTGCAGTCTTCAAAGCGTCCCCCATTGGGTTCACCAACCAGATTCCTGGAAAGGCAGCTACGTCGCCACGGTTTTTGCCGGAATGGCGCGCAAACGAGCGAAACTCTAGGAGGATTTCCACTACTCAGTACTCCAGAAATCGATCCCCCAAACCACCACGCCCAGAACTCGCTAAACCTACCTACTTGGCCCCTCGGATGATATAGAACTATTTAGGGGTTCTGGTAGCACTTCCCATGAACATATCCTGTATCGATGTCCACGGTGGTGTGGGGCGGACGTGGGCGGACGTGGGCGGACTGTCAGGCTGTCCTTCTGCGAAGTGCGGCCTGAATAACTAGAATGAGTCGAGGCTGCGGGGCACTACTGAACCAAATTATCTCACGGGGCAATAACCTCTGCCATTGCTTGGGGACTCCTTAGAAACTGGAGGACCCCCTGAACTGGACGGCTTCCTCCTTGTTTTGCCTTTTCAACCAAGGTGGAAGGGCACCAACAACGCGCACGCACACACCCACACACACACACACTTCCCATTTAGAACCTAACATATTCTTCGGGTGCCCGGGCAGTTTTCGACAGTCTCCAAGGGACAGCTGTCCGGTGGTAGCCTCCTGGAACTCAAGAATCTAGATCCATCCGACCCAAAGGCAAAGACATTTGCCGATCGAAACAACATGGGTAGGCTTCAAAGTGTCTGCCATGGGCTGCGGCAAGTCTTGGGTTTTCATGAAACCCATGCATTGGGTACAAATAATAAAAACTTGGTTTTATAAAAGTCCACTATTATTTGTTTGAATAAAACCCAATGCAATGCCTGTTGCCACGGCCGTGCTGAGAATATGTCCGGGCGTTGGAAAAAGGGAACAAGGGTGACACGCGTCACACGGGCGCCAACCTCCGTGCCCAGATTCATGCAATCCGCCGCAGGCCGATCTGAGTGTTTCCATAAGACGCCTTGCAATGTCTTGCAATGGTGAGATTCCTCGGCTTCCTTGCGGCTTCGAAACCATCTGAGTGAATTATAGTATTTCACCAACCTGAAATAAAGTGGTTGGGGGGTTATTCCCCACATAAACCACCATTTGGGGTGAATTCGGCCGTGTGAGGTCGTTACAATTCACCCAGAACCATCCCAGAAGCTCTCAGTTCCAGGCGAAACAACATTCAGGCAGGCGAGCCTGTTCTGAAACCTGCGCATTCCGCGCACCGCTTGTGGCAATTCAGTCACCCGCGATCAATTGCCAGATCACTACACGTGTGTGGTGCCTGCGGGCTGATTTTCTTGTTTGATGTAGTTGCAAGCCGACGCCCTACCGCGAGACCGCAAGAGCGATTCCACCCCTGGATATGCAAATCTACAGATTGAAGGCTGGACATGTATGCCCGCCAGCCATTTAGTTGGGTATTCGCGAAACAGTCTCAAAACAACAAGAAACCCCAAAAGCACTAATTCTCCTTTTGGGGGACCTTCGGTTTGGGTTTCTATGTGAACCTGCAACCTGTCGACAAAAGGCAAGATGAAACTTTATCCAACACCCTGAACCTTCATAGAGTATTCGCGGAATTTCGAGGGGTAGATGAAACTCCCTCAAGCCGCCCACTCCTCAGACAGTAGACTCCTTCGATCAACCTTTACAGGCTCACCCGCTGCGGCTGCTTCCCAAAATCGCCCATCATTGACCGCACAGGCCTCGCACGACCGGGAATGTCCATGCCCGAGGGTGAACATAATAGCAGAAAGTTCTACAATGATCCAAACAACTGAACTCAGGCATCCCTGATCGTAAGGGACTTTCACCTAAGCTCGTTTTATCCGCGGGCGGGGTGAAGTCTCCCAACAATAGACATCTGTAATTGACTATATTGATCACCGAAACAATGGGTGGGGCACGGAGAAACAACAACCAACATAAGTCATGGTATTCTGGGAAATGCATGTCGCGAATCCGCCGACCCTACGGAACAATTCACATACCACGCCGGTTGGCGAATTCCATTCAAATCTAGGCTGGAAAACATAGGCCGTGCTGTGCCATCTAAGGGATCATGTGTGTTCTCAGCAAACACACCGAATTTTGAAAGCGAGCTTCATGCAAAGCAATGGGTGTACCCGGATAGACAGCGCGCAATAAGTTCAGTCGATTTGTAGATTATTGGCCTTCCACGACACAGTCCAAACTGCTGAATCGGTGCATGGATGGAGCACCAGAGCCATCTTTCCGGTGTGACCAGAGTAACCTGATGATCAGAGTTGGGTTACCAAGGACTACCGAGGCACTCAGATAATCATTGTCACAAGCACATGCCCAGGAGTTTTGACCATGCGTGCCACGACTCCTGGTTGCCCATACATGAGACATGTCCTTTCGGCAAGGTGCACCATGGTCTCCCAATGACCAGGCCAAATGTAAAGGAACCCTTTTGGGACAAATCTGCTATCATCTAAGTCAGGGATCCCCTTCAAACGAGACGTTTCGCTTCAGAGCAACCATGGCATCTTCAAAGTCACAGCTAGTTCATTTCACTTTAGCAACCAACATCAAAGCTTGGGTATTCTAATTTAAGGATCGGTCAGCCGCCTAGCAATCTAGAATTAGGTTTCGGGATCTCGTGGTCTCGTTCATAGGCGCTCCGAGTCTCCTGTGCAATAATAGGACGGAGCCCCCACTCAAGCATTTTGAGAAGTTCCAAAATTTGTCTTTGGAGATGGATGTAATTCCCCACTGCCTTCCACGGCAGATATACCGGTTGTCACATTGGTAGGCCGAGAAGCAACCAACAAAGTAGACAAGTCACCTGCCATCCTTTTTTGGTGAAAGTAACGGGACACTTATATTTCCACAAGGGATGGCTACTTCAAACTTGCTGTTGAAGCATACTTTGCGGGTACCCACATGGTCTAGGTTGCCACCTGCAGCCGTAAGTAATCCATATTAAAAGGACCTTTGATGAGACCTTCCGTGGTACTGGAACTAGCTGAATCTCTTTTCTTTCA